TAGACTGGCACAATGACAGTGGTAATGGAGGTATGTGTGTCGGAGACAGTGAGATTGGCTTAAGATAGGGCAGGTTTCATACAGTTTCTCTGAGCCATAGTCAAGCAGACAACACATAACAGCAACAAAAAATTATATAGGAGGAGTTAGCCTACCTGTCTCCAACAGAGCAGCTGTTGGATTTGAACTGCTTGCCTTTGGACTAGCAGGGCAACTTCTTATCAGTAAGCCACCAGACCTCCCCTAACTTTTAGATAGAAAGCAAAAATCCTCACAACGATATCAATTAGATAACATCATAATAAATAGAAAATAATGAAGGTTTGCAAACCGAATGCAGAAAGAAGGCAGCGACATGAGGAAATGAATTCTGAAAAGGGGAGAGGCTGAGGCAGAGGTGTTCTCACAGCTTAGCACTAAAAAGACCACTTTTTTAGTCTCCCTATGGTTTTTATTTCATTTAGGCCAATCCTCCTAAAAAAGTTCAATCTCTGGAGACTGTATTTTCCTTATACTTAAGTGTTGCCAACATAACAATGGGTAAGCTTAATCTTTACACTAAGACCAAAATTCAGACATGGCATCCCCTCAGGTGGGAGGTTGGGCAGAATTCTCTGTTTGCGTAGGACATCCAGTATTTTCTGTGGGTTGCTGGGCAGAATTCTCTGTTTGCAGAGAGTGCTCAGTTCTGTCTGGACTCTGATCTCAGCTGTGGACCGGCTGTCACTATGCCGGAGAATCCACAATGAAGTTATGGAGGATTTAGTTTTACTTAGATCTCTTTCAACACCTGTAGAAACAGCAATCAAGGAGCCAATAGACATATTTCATTGAGCACATCTGCGACCAAGGACCTTTTAAAAATGCTAAAAAGCAAAGATGATGGTGTTAAGACAAAGGTGCACCTGGCACAAGCCATAATACTGCATTTGCTTAATACACTTGTCAGATTTGGACAATGGATAAGGGGGGGAAAGCATGGCGGGCTTTGTATTTTTTGTATTGTGGATGTATTTTGAATGTATCATGGGCTGTCAAACAGGCAAGGTAATAATGATTTGGAAGAAGTACATCCACAGTATACCTCAAAGGTGAGGATGTGAAACTTTGTTCACAGATTGTGGCAGTGCAGTTAGGACAGACCAGATCTTTGAAGGTGATATCATATTTGAAAAGGTAGAGGACCAGAGAAGGAGAGGGAGAATTCAATAAGATAGAACAACACAGTGACTGCAACAAAAGGCTTAAGAAATGTGGAGATTTTGAGGGTGGTGAAGGATCAGGGAAGGTTTCAATCTGTTCCATGTAGAATTACTATGAAACTGAGTGAACTCTATGGCACCTAAAACACAAAATATATGCACCAAGAAAAAAAAATTTAAAAATTGAGCCACACAGGCACTTGAAAAAGTATTACCATAAAATTCAGCCTAATGTATCCACATTTACGACATTCCTCTTACCAAAACCATTTAGGAAAAATAGGAACTCCATTGGAACATGTATCTCTGGATTGGAAATGATCATATTGTTAATATTTCTAGCCTTAAGCTTAAAAGATTATAATGTTCAAAACTATTTGTTATATATTTGTCTCAATTTTTCCCTCTTTTAACAACTGGGATCTAGAGGGAAGATAAAAGACCAGAGA